CCTCACCCGGGCGCACGCCCCGCCTCCCTGCTCCCCGCGGCCGCACTAACGCGAGCCGGGCGCCCGCGAGAGAACATATATACCGGGAGCGCCCGCTGCATGCTGCGCTCACCAATGGGGCGCGGGCCCCGCGCAGTCCGGGAGCCCCATTGGCTACTCCGCCCTGCAGCCCTTCCAATCAGACGAGACCTGGGCAGCCGCTTAATTTGCATTCAGCCCGGGAGCCGGGTCCCCCCGGTGCCGAGTGAGCTCGGGTTTTGGAAGCCAACCCGGAGCCTCCCGGACGCCGCCATCGGCGTGTCAGGCGAAGGGACGGTCCAGTCCTGGCCCCGGTGGGGAGGCCGCCTTTCTGCTGGTCGCCGTGCCACGGCGGGGGCGCGAGGGCCGGGGACGCCTGGCGCCCGGCTCGGCCTCGGGAGCTAGGGGTGGCACTCCGGAGCCTAGCCCTCAAAATAAAGTCCCTAAAACCAAGGGAAAAAAAGAAGTCTGTGCGCGAGGCAACCCGGAGAGGTTGTCTGTGCAGAGGAAGACACCATCCCTGGCCACAGGACGGACTCCAGGCTTCGCTTTGGGACTGAGAATATTTCCAAGATCTCGTTGTCCCCCGTCTGTACCTGTAGCCAATGCGCCCCGTCTTCCGTGACCTTGTATTTAAATTTGCCCTCCCACTTGCGCAGAAGTGCCCCATAGAAACTAGACTTTGAAGGTGGCCGCCGCATCCTTTCCGACTAGTTGACCTACTCCGTTATCTGTTGTGCTGATGTTTTAACCGACATTTCTTCATTCTAAATGATTTCATACTTGTCGACTAGAGTGGTTCACTAGCATGTCCCTCTTCATAATGAACCTGAGTCCGAAAGTAAGGCGAAGGGGTGTGTGGGGGGGGCTACTTAGTCTTGGTCTCATTTAAATGAGGTCTTCAGCCGTAAGAAATGAAGCGCCTCAACTTTGGTGAGCCCCAACACAGGGACCCTGGTGCCTGCAGAGCTGCTTTTCTGCTTTCTTCTGCCCAAAGGAACCTCACTTTCTGTAGCCAGGTTTGTCTGGGGCCTTGCCTGAGAAAATGCTAGGCAGGCACTGCTGCAGATCTTCAGATGCTCTGGGAATAGCCACTGGGCTCCTGCCACACTGGGGACAGCCTGGGGAGGGAGGTCCAGGGCAGGGGGCTTCTGGACACAGCAGCCGCTGGGGGCCCCTGCCTGGCTAGAGTCTAAAGACGAGAAGAAGGAAAAAGAAAAGTCCTTCCAAAGTGGGAGTGCACAGCCTCCCAAGGAATGTCACAGTGGGGAGTCCAGAGGATGGCCCCCGGAAATCTGAATGGTGTGGAGCCAGAGCTCCAAGGAAGCTGCAGCACTGAGCCACCAGACTCATTCACTGGAACCAGTATTCTTTGTTCATTTATGGAAGCCACCCACCTTCTCCAGGGACCAGGCTCCTTACACCCACCCACCCACCCACCGACCCACCCACCCCCACACACACACACACAGTGTGCCCATTACATGCCTAACTAGCCCCAGGTTACAGAAACCCCAGAGTGCCCTAAACTGCCCTGACCCCCACTGTCTTCCCTGGTGCACAGTTCTGAGCTAGGGATCCCCATTTCCCTTTCCTACTGTGTCCCCTTGGTTCCTTTTCTCCTGCTTCATTCACTCTTATTCCTCTTGTCCTCATTCTGTCTGTCTGCCACCAACAACAGCTTCCAATGGTCTGTCTGGAGTGTTCATGCAACCACGAATTGTCATGTATGCATGCATTTGAAATCTAGGCAAACAGGGCCTTTATACGTCACTTTATTTTGTGACTCACCACAGTGCCCTAAGCCACTCCTCTGTGTCACCAGGGCTGTGGACAACTCCATGGCCTCCATCCCCAATGAGGGGCACTGGTGTCTGCCCTGCCCTCACCTGCCCCCCACCAGGACGGTGCATAGAACACCCACGCGTGCATTGCCCTGTGGCCTGGAGAGGACATCTTGGGATGCAACACCTGTTGGTGGGGTCACTGGGCCACCAATCGTTATGACCTAAATCCCAGGACATCTGGCAACTGGTGCTGCAGAACCCAGCAGCAGTGCAGGGGCCGGGGGTGGGGGTGGGGGGCCGCTCAGGGGCATTCTTTGGAAGGCTGAGGGAACCTCTCCAAGAGCTGGGTGGTCCCAGCCTGCCTGCCCAAGGCATGAAAGTGATGTGACCCTGCCCCACCTTGGCTTGCACACCCACCATGGGTGCATTGGGGGTGGGGTGAGCACACAGGTCTGCAGAGCTGGGCCCCAGCAATCCCAGTCCCTTGACCTGCCGCCTGCGAGGAGCTGTGCTTCCATCCACCATGGCGTCCCCAGATTGGCCTCTCCAGGGACATCTCCACCAGCCTCGGGCAAGCACATCTGGTCAGGGCACCATGTGCGCACATATCAGCAGAACCAGCTCCACAGCCCAGCCTCCCATGCTGGCACCCAGTGGCACTTGGCCCCATCTGGCCCCACCCGTAACAGGGACCCTGGTCCCATCCAACCTCTCAACAAGGGTCAGTCCCAGTCCTGGGCACACCACCCCCCAGAACCATGCTGGCATCTGTGGCACATCAGAGTGGGGCTGGAGCACAGTGTCACAGAGAGCACAGGGTCCATCAAGGAATTGCTGTTGGGAGGTGACCTCTGAACTGGAGCCCTGGGGTCCCAAGAGCCAGAAGCCACTCCAGGTGCTCTGCCCATGTGAGGTGGGGCAGGGCTTTCTTTGGTTCTCTGCTAGATCTCCTAAGGTCAGTGCAGAGTCTGCAGTGTGGATGCCATGGACCCCATCAGGGCTCTACACCCCAAGGCCCCAGGGCTTTCCTGGTGGGCCATGCTCCACAGGTGGGGTCATGTGCCAACCCCAGGAAAGCAACACTGTCCCAACTCCATGCCTGGCACCTTTCCTGGACTCTGCCTCCTACCTCCCCCTTCAGCTCACGCTAACCCCTCTCCTCCCCCAGATAAACCATCACGGTGAGCACAGCACCTTCCACAGGCTCTGGGAGCTACTTAGGGGCAGGGTCCTTGGCATGGGGTCCCCCCCTGACCTCCCAGCTGACCTCTTTAGTCCACAGCCCCTCACCACATCTTGACTCCCAGCCCCTGGGTTTCTCACTTGCGGCCTAAGTCTGGTGGAGGGTCAGGTCACCAGCCGTACCCTAGCATCTGAGAACCACAAGGCAGGGGGGGCATCTCTCCCTGTGCCACTGTGCTCCACCGTGTGACCACATAGCTCCTCCACTCCCTGTGAAAGGACCCTCCAGGTGATGCCCTGCTCCCCTGGACTGGGAACGCCGAAACAGGCCACGGGTCCCTGCCACCTGCACTGGGACAGTAACAGGAGGTGGAGGGAAATGCAACAGGCCCTGAATGAAGGAGCCGGAGAGGCCCCCGGTCTTGTTGCTCCTCCTCCAGGCAGAGCCCAGCCTGGTTTGCCACCATGTCGTGCTCCTGCGCCCAGCTGGAACATGCAGCAGGCCGCATGCCCAGTCAGGCAGAAAGCCACAGGGAAGCACATGCACCTGCATCCTCAGGCAGAGCTTGCGCAGTCCACCACACGGCTCCTGTACAGTGCAGTTTGTGTGCAGGCTGGAAGGTGATGAAGCTAGCTGGCAGTGCTGGCCCCCGGAAGAGCAGTACTATTTCACGGGGATTAGGGGCCCGCGGCAGAGGGGCATGTGAGGGCCAGCTGGGAGCCTTCACCCCCAGCACCCAGAGGAGCTACTGAGGGGACAGTGGGCCTGGCGGAGTCAAGGGCCATCTGCACTGGAATGTTCCTGGCCTGCTAGGCCCAGGCCAGGTGGCTACCTCTGGTGCCCGCACTCCTCTCCCCCACCAGGATCTAGAACAGGATCACCTCTAGCACTACCCCTGTTCAGAGGAGTCAGGATTATTTATCAGGATTTCATGGCTATGGTCTTAGGCTCTGCCCACAGAGCACAGGCAGGCCTTCCAGCAGGTCTCCAAGCACAAACTAGGTGGGCAGCTGGACTAGACCTAAGCAGGTCTCCCCCTGACGTCATAGCAGAGGCATGGGGCCCATCAGGGGGGCCCCCTTTAGGCCCCAGCATGGACACAGGGCCTCCCTGGACACTGGCTGGGCTGTGGAGGAGACAGAAAGGAGGGGCGCCAGGCAAACTGGCTATAGCAAGCCCTCTTTACTGGGCTCCCTGACTGCAGACCAGGGCCGGGCATGCCACTCCCAACATCACAGAAACCAGACGGCTGCACAGGGACGGTGATGGGAGGCCTCCTCTGGAAATGCACCTGCTGATCCTAACTCCGAGCCATCTCGTAGGACACCCAGCCTCCACCGTCTTTAATGGCTCTGAGTCAACATTCCGGGATCCCTCATCCCCACTGCCTGTCACTTGCACGAATTTACATCGTGCTGCTCCCACAAGTCGTGTTCCTACTACATTCATCTACGGAAGGAAACTGAAGCAGAGGAAGCCAGGAGCAGAGGGAGATGAGACACCTCATCCAGGCCTGGGGGTGACTAGCGCCCTGAACAGTTCCTCTGCCCCAGGAAAAACACTCGGGTCAGCCAAGGATAGGCAGGTGGCAGGGGTCGGGGAAAGGAGGGTGAGGTTGAGGCAGGTCCAGGTCACCCAGGGGCAGGTGGTGCAGAGAAATGAGCACAGCCATGTGGACACTGGGAGGCAGAGGGGTGACAGCTTCAAGGACACAGTGCCCCAGACACGGACCCCACAAAGTTCCTGAAGACAGAGCAGGCGCTAGAGGTATAGGCTCTGTGGGACCCATGCTGTTGGGGGCTCAAGCCAGAAGCAGGTCTGAGCCGCCTGCCTGCCCTCCCCACCCTGATGCCCTGAGCCTCTTTCCCTGCACATACACCTCATATGTACCCCTAGCAGGTCTGCACATCCAGTGGAACGGCCCCATGGTGGGTGGCTTTTCAATGAGGTGGACGACCCAGGCTGCCCAAGACACCGCCGGCCACGGAGACCCCAGGCCAATGAGACTCGGCGGCAGCGACAAGAGCTTTATGAAGAGTCATGATACACTGGGGTGAACGGTGCCCCTGCTACAGGTCTCTAGGGTCACATGTGTGGAGCCTGGGGAACATGAACGCCCAGAGGAAGAGGGAACAGGGATACTCTCTGGCACAACCCATGGTGGGCACCTGTGGTACGCATCCTGCGTGTACACCTAGGAGCAGACCCTCGAAGGTGAAGGATGCTGTGGGTCCAGGAGGCAGCAATGGGGGGCCAGGCCACGGTGGGTGCAGCTTCTGGGGCCTGGAGCCAGCAGGGGGGGCAGGAGCTCACTGCAGGGGGAGGGGAAGGAGGGGGGAGGAGAGACCCAGGCCTTGAAGCGCCCCCAGCTTCTGGCATCTCCCCCAGACTGGAGCCTCAGTGCAGCCACTCCACCCCTGGGAGCTGATTACTCAGCCGTTCCAGAATTGGAACAGCACCCCAGGGACCTGAAGACAAAAGGGCAAGGGCTGCCAGACCTGCCATAGACAAGGGGTGTTTACAGGCCAGAGTCCCAGAGTCAGTCCTCCCATCCAACCTTGAGCAGGAGCTGCCTGGCTGGTGGGAAGCCCTGTGCCCTAGTGAGCTGCCTCCTCGCCCTCCCTTGGGGTCTGCAGTAAGGGGGTGCCCACCTGGAGCAGCATGCTGAGGCCCAGGTTGCGGTGCCTATGCTCCAGCTCCGACACGGCCTGCAGCAGGGACCCAAAGCGCTCAGCCGGGTCTGAGTCCTCATCCTCCAAGGACCCCTCGTCTTTATCCGCCTCCTGCAGAAAACGCGCCTCTTCCTCGGCAAAGAAGGCCCGCAGCTTCTTGTAGTCGGTGAGGGCTTTCTTCCGGCGGTCCATCACATGTCCCTGCAGGGCAGGAAGCAGACGGCAGGGACACCTGTGCCCTGGGATCCACCCTGGGGCCTCCCGCCCTACTGCTACCCACCCCGGGTAGGGGGGTTTGCTGCAGTGTGCGGCACCCAGCCGCACCCCCACCGATCCGGGTCAGGGGCCACACCCACATCCCCTCCTTGGGTGCGCCCCAGGCCTACGCCACTTGCCTTCCACACGGCCGCAGCAGACTCGGCCTGGCCATGCAGGTCCCGTGCATCGTTCAGGTCTTTTCTCATGATCTCCACCGACCCCTTGTTCTCCTAGAAAGACATGCGGGTCACTGGTGGACGCACAGTCAGAAGGCTCAGGGTCCCCCAGCCAGTCCAGGGACAGGCTCAGTGTGTGATCTTGACCTGTCAGACTCCACAGAAAGGGGCTGCAGGTACCAGAGGGGGTCTCTGCAGGCCCATTAAGCTCTCTGCAGAAAGAAGCCTGACAAATGCACCTGCTAGGAATACAATCAGGCAACTGAATACGAGACTATCCTGTGGGCTCCCTAGCGTTCCTGTCACTAGGGTCCCCAGACCCTACACCTGTAGGTTCCCCCAGCAGGAGCATAGCCCAGCTCCAATCCACCCCCAGGGTGCTCAGGGGACCCCAGGCTGTCTTTAATGACATAATGTGACCCACCTTTAGCGGGTGTCCCCAGGCCCCAGCTACAGCCAGACTCTTCCACTGCGGGTTTCTAACTAGGGTCAGGTGCCCCATGCACTGGTCGACTGCGACAGCCAAGCTTTCAGGATGGAGTGGGAAAGCATCTGGGTGAAGGGAGGGGGCACCTGGACCACAGCAGCTGCCAGCCCACGCTGGCGGCCCGGTCCAGCCCGCGGGGGTGGGGCTGCAGCGGGGTGACATCACACGTGGAGGCGGGGCCAACCGATGAACGCCCACTTCGGATGGGGGTGGTGGTAGAGCCGTCCGAAAACGGAACAGGGGCTGCGTGTGCGAGGTGGGGGAGGAGAATGGTCCGGGGACGCGAGCGTGCACAGAAGGCCCTTCAGGGGTGCGGGATAAGGCGAGGGGGCGATGTCCAGGAGGTGGGGAGGGAGGACAGAGCCCAGGCCGGGGATGGGCGAGGGGGAACAAAGCACGTCCTGGGGGAAGGGACCCTGGTTGGAGAGAGGCCCTGGCACCTTCCGACGGGGCGGGGCGGGGCGGGGCTGGGATGGAGGACCGGACACCATTCTGAAGATTGAGAGGGGAGACAGGATGCCGTCCCTCCGGGAGAGGGGACCCGGGGTCCGGATGGGGAGACAGGGAACCGTGGGGGGCGGGGTGGCAGGTTACCATCTGGAGACAGGGACCCAGGTTCGGAATGGGGGAAGGGAAGCCAGCGGAGGGTGGGGAATGGGAGGCAGGGCAGGGGACAGGGAGCAGAGCAGTCTGGGGCGCGGGCGCGGACGCGGACCCGGGTTGGAGAGGGGGGGCAGGACAACACCTAAGGGTGAGGCGGACAGGGCACCGGGGCCCCAGGCTGGGGAGGCGGGGCCGGGCGCCATCCGAGGATGCCGGGGGACAGAGCACCGGCCGGGGGGGCGGGGGGGCGCGGGCAGGGAGGGGGTGCGGGACACCATCTGAGGGCGCAGGAGGAGGGAAACGCGGCCCTGTCCGGGGCGGCGGCCGGGCCCGCCCGCGCGCACCTTGCCGCGCAGCGCCTTCCTCCAGCGCGGCTCCCACTCGGGCGGCTCGGGCCCCGCGGCCATGCGGCAGGCGGCGCACAGCGGGCCCCCGTCGGCGCGGCACAGCAGCTGCAGGGCCGCCTCGGAGGCCGGGCCGTCGCGCGCGGGTGCCGCGGCCGCCTCCTCGAGCGCCAGCAGTCGGCGGCTGAGGGGCGGGCGGCCGGGCTCCACCGCGCGCTGCCAGCAGTCGTCGGCGCACTCGGGGCACGGGAAGGGCCCGTCCTCCTCGGCCCAAAAGCGCAGCACGCACGCCCGGCAGAAGCGGTGGCCGCAGTCGGCGCGCACCGGCTCTCGGGGCGCGCGCTGGCACAGGGCGCAGGCGGCCTCGGCGGGGCCCGCGGGGAGCGCCAGGGCGGCGGCGGCGGGGGCCCCGAGGCGGGCGCGGCCGGCGGAGAGGCGGCGGGCACGGACACGAGAAGGGGCTGGAGAGCGCGGCCGCACGGCGCAGGCCGGGGACAAGGACGGCGACGGGGGCGCGCGGGGCGGTGACGGAGGGGCGCGCCACGCAGGGTCCTGGCAGCGGTGTGCCTCACGCTCGCGGACCCCGGCCGGCCGCGCCTCCGCACAAGGTCCTGGCAGGGGTGCGCGCCGCTCTCCAGGGTCCTGGCAGCGGTGCTCCCGCCGCCCGCGGGTCACTCTCCAGTCCGCGGGCCCGCCCGCCTTCCCGCCTTCTCACGGCTGAGATCTCCCCAGGGTTATCGCTTACCCCGGAACTGACACCTGGACGAGAGGGAAGCTGTTTTATTTTTATTTAAGATCTTATGTATTTATTCATGAGAGACACGGCGCGGACGGGGAGGGGAGAGAGAGAGAGAGCGAGAGAGAGCGAGAGAGAGGCAGAGACGCAGGCAGAGGGAGAAGCAGGCTCCATGCACCGGGAGCCCGACGTGGGATTCGATCCCGGGCCTCCAGGAATAGGCCGTGGGCCGAAAGCAGGCGCTAAACCGCTGAGCCAGCCGGGCTGCCCATATTTTTTTTTTACCAAGATTTCATTATAAAAGTGTTTTGTAAGCTGCTAGGACCTGGGCTGCGAGCTCCCCGCCCACGCTGGGCTGGGGCTGGGCTGGGGCTGAGCTGAAAACGGCTCACGTGGGACCCCCGCGTGTGCAACCGTTCTGCACCCGCCGCCCCGCCTGGGCCCGCTCCCGGCGCATCCGCCCTGCGTGCGGTTCCCCGAGTGTTCCCTCTCCTGCTGCATCTGCTCTGCACGCGCCTCCTCGCGTGAACCGTCCCGCACGGGACCGGTCCTGTCCCCGGGGATAACAGGCCTCCAGCCCACTGTCCCGCGCGTCCCTAGCGGAGGAATCCGGAGGCAGGGAATGACTATGTCCCATGAGACCCAAAGCTCCAGGATCCCAGACATTTGTTAGCATTTCTTTAGGGGGAAAAATTTGGAGAGAGGAGCAATCTGGTTGGTTGTGTTGTGCCCAAGATTGCGAATCCGAGAAACCACCGAGGAGCCGACACCGATGCAAACACACGAGGGTTTATTAACAAGCTCGGGCTTGGGTCCAAGTGCACCCGACACAGCGGAGCAGAGACTTGGGCCCCGAGGTGGGTTACAGCTGGGTTTTTATGGGCTAGTCTAGGGGTAAGGTGGGATTTTTCAGTAATGGTGGGGGTGTGAGAATCTCCAGTAAAGAGGTCTCACAAGCTCTTGCTTCCTTATTCTGATAAGGGCGCGCTTTGTGTTGTTTTGTTTGTTTGTTTGTTTGTTTGTTTGTTTTGTTTTGTTTTTTTCTGTAGCCGGGGTAAAGTAGAGTTCAGTACCTGGTCACAGTAGCCTGGTCGCAGTAGTCTGAGACGGCTACCAAAGCTACAATGTGCTTGTGCCAATGTTAAACTTGAATGGCCCTAATTTTCTCAGCCTCCACAGTTATTTTCAAAACAAGCAAGCATGCAGTTGAAATAAAAAATTACTGTGATTTAGCACTACATAATTTTTAAGTGTTAAAAAAATTAGTTTGTTATTCCATACAGATGCAGATTGGGTTACATTGCTTCCAGTTTTGTGTTATTAAAATTTGGCATAGACCTGAGAATGCACGGAAAGTGTAACTAGCGAAGTAAGGTTAGTTCTGTTCCATAATGGTCAGAAGAGGGCTTCAAACCCAGCGCACCCAATTAGTTGGGTAAACTAAGAACCTAATGGAGATGGGATGCCTGGGTGGCTCAGCGGTTGAGCTTCTGCCTCCCGCTCAGAGCATGATCCCCATGTCCTGGGATGGAGTCCCGCATTGGGCTCCCTGCATGGAGCTTCTCCCTCTGCCTGTGTCTCTGCCTCTCTTTCTCTCTGTCTCTCATGAATAAATAAATGAAACCCTAAACAAAACAACAACAACAACAAAAAAAAGAACCTAGTGAAGAGAACAGAGAGAGGAAGGAAGGAGTTCAACAAATTCCATGATATTCAGTGAGTAGAACAGTAAATACGAACAGGAAAGGTCAAAAGCCAAACTTGCAAAGTTTGAACTACAAACATACAAAAGTTCATAAAATTTGGTACAGAAAAAATATAATAGAGAAATAGCCCCCCCCCCCAGGATGTGTCAGTTCACAGAAAAAAACAATTACTGAATAGATTGTTGTGTATGGATAGAGGTTTCTGTGATCTGCTCAGCGGGACTGACCACCTGCACATGCACATGCAAAAGCAGGCTAAGATGTGGTTTGTGAGACTCAGGCTGTGTGCATGATCTTGAGAGACTGGTTATTTAAAATATGTCATCTGGCCTCCAGGTCAGGACTGGCCCTTCTGGTCTGGACACATAGAGCCTCAAATCTTGTCTTGCATCCTGTCCTGCTGCAGGCAGGGCTGGCCCCCCAGGATGGGTTCCAGGAGGGTAGGCAGACACACTTAGCCCAGGATCCTTGAAAATATAGTACATGTTGCAGTGACAATGCAGCTCGCTCTTCCTAGGGGAACAGATGTCTAGCTTCAGACCCCGACATTTGCCCTATAAACACAGCCCTTTGGAGATGGTCAGTTAGAAGTCTTACCTCAGGGGAGGACATGCCACCCAGGGCTCTCAGTGTGGACTCCAGCCTGGCTGTCTCCAGCGGGCTTCCTCAGCTAGTGAGGTTGGATGTCCTGGTACCTGACTTGATGTAGTTCTGTCTTATTCGCATTTGTTGCCTACTATCACCTTCATCTATGTGTAGCTTCCTTTCCTCTTCTATTAGGTTTCTGTATGTGCTGCCAAAGCGAGCACTCTTCTATTAGGTTTCCATAATGTTTTCTTTCCTTTTTGAAACCAAATCACAGCTGTTATGAATCTTTTGTTCAGATCATAGATGTGGGGGAAAAATACACTCTGGCCAGGTTAAGAAATAGGAACATAAAATAAGATTTTTCTTCACCGTTAAGTTAGCAGACACCCCCCCCCAAAAAAAAAAAAAAACAACTGGATTTTGCAAATATTGCTTCTGGGAGACAAGGTAGCAATATGTAGTCAGAACCTTCAGAATTTTAATAACCTTTGCAATTTCTTTTTCCAAAATATGTTCTATTAAAATAAACCCAAATGGAAATAAAACCTTTCCTGATTTGGCTTGGTTTGGTTTTGAGAAATGTTTGTCACATCACTATTTGGGGAAAAAACCAAAAACCTCAAATTTCCATTAATAGAGAATGAACAAGTTGTAGTAGTCATCCATCCGAAAATGTGTGCATGAGTTGCATCCCAATGTTTATAGCAGCAATGTCCACAACAGCCAAACAATGGAAAGAGCCCAGATGTCCATCAACAGATGACTGGATAAAGAAGATGTGGTCTATACACACAGTGGGATATTACTCAGCCATCAAAAAGAATGAAATCCTGTCATTTGCAATGACTTGGGTGAAACTATAGTGTATTATGTTAAGTGAAATAAGTCAGAGAAAGACAAATACCATGATTTCACTCATGTGGAATTTAAGAAAGAAAACAGATGAACATAGGAGAAGGGAAGGAAAAATAAAATCAGATGAAAATTGAGAGACAAACCATAAAAGACTCTTAACTCTGGGAAACAAACTGAGGGTCGCTGGGGGGGAGATGGGTGAGTGATGGGGTACCTAGGTGACAGGCATTAAGGAGAGTACAGGATGTGATGAGCACTGGGTATTATTTGCAACTGATGCATAGCAGAATTCTACCTCTGAAACTGATACATTAAAAAGAGAAAGAGAATGTGTGCATGAGAGACTTCTGGAAATAAGGAGTAGCAAATGTTGCTTCATAGCCCCTAGATCTGCTCCAAATTCCAACGTGGGCTTTTCGCCATCAAGCAATTCTCTCTGTGATATCAACTGCATGCTCTAAAATTTAACAATCCTAGGGATCCCTGGGTGGCGTAGCGGTTTGGCGCCTGCCTTTGGCCCAGGGCGCGATCCTGGAGACCCAGGATCAAATCCCACATCGGGCTCCCGGTGCATGGAGCCTGCTTCTCCCTCTGCCTATGTCTCTTTCTCTCTCTGTGACTATCATAAATAAATAAAAATTTAAAAAAAATTTAAAAAAATTTAACAATCCTAGTAGCAGAATTCGAATTGTGTTGTATGGGATCCTGACTCCCCAAGACAGGCTCAAAGGTATCACCTGGTATTTGTCCCCCTCCCTCTGCACCCTCCAGGTGAGAGATTCAGGGTTGCTGTATGACAGGGCAAAGCAGCTCTATGGGGTCTCCCTCATCTTCCTCTAGAACCATCCAGAATATGGAAGACTCCCACTTCCAGGTCAGAGGCAGAAGCAGAGTGATGATCTGGAGTATTGCTCAGAATGACATTCCATAAACACCCCCAGGACAGCAGGACAGTTGCTGGGCTTGGGGGGTCTTGGATCCCGCCCCCCACCTCCCCACCAAAGGGCAGAGGTCCCAATTCAGCTGGCTGGGTTCTGAACCACCTTCCGTTCTCTTGAGGTCATGTTCTCAATGGATTAACATGAAATGTGTTGGGATTAAATTGGCAGTGATGAAAAAAAAAAAAAAAACCAGCATTGTCCGTAAGAGTGTGCCAAAGTAGTTCATTTTTTAAGCAACAACAAAAATAGGCCATGAGAACATAAGTAAAGGAATCTGTTTGTGAGCCGGCCTGTCCAGAGCCCAGACCGTCAGGAGCAGGGGAGAGGCCCTGTCGGCGCGGCTGGAGGGGCTGCCCCGAGGCGGCAGGCTGTCGGAGGAGCGCTGCCCCGCGGTCCTGAGGTCCACCTCACGTCTGGGGGACAATTTACTTTAAAACAAAAGTATGGGGATCCCTGGGTGGCGCAGCGGCTTGGCGCCTGCCTTTGGCCCAGGGCGCGATCCTGGAGACCCGGGATCGAATCCCACGTCGGGCTCCTGGTGCATGGAGCCTGCTTCTCCCTCTGCCTGTGTCTCTGCCTCTCTCTCTCTCTTTCTCTGTGTGTGTGTGTGTGTGTGTGTGTGACTATCATAAAAAAAAAATTAAAACAAAAGTGTGACTCGGGGCGAACCCCACAGTAGGCCTGCGGAAAAGGAATCTGAAATTAGTTTTTCACTGTCGGGATACATTCTTGATGCGGCAGGCTGCGGGCGGGGCGGGGGAGCGCGGAGGGGAGCTGCGGGCCGCGGGGGGCGGGGCGGGGCGGGGCGGGGCGCGGCAGACGCGAACCCCAGGCGAGGCCGAGGTTTCCAACGGCCCGAGACGGGGGAGCCCTGGGGCGGCGCCCGCGCTCTCCCCAACCGCTGCCCGGAAGCACCGCGGCCTCATTGGAGTCCGTTTACCGAGCGGCTCCCCGCGGCCGGGAAAGGGCGAGAACGGCGCACGGGGGGAGGGGCGCGGGCGGAGCTGGGGCGACCGCTGCGGGGCTGGGGCGGCGCGGGAGTGGACGCACGACTGCCACGAAACGCCCGCTTGTACGACGGTGGCTCGGAGTTCTTCCGAGGGCGGCAGGGGACGTCCGCTGGCCTGCGGTCGGTGGGGCCCGGGTCCTCGGGACTGGGGGTTCCCTCACCGAGCGCCCCTCTGCCGCAGCCCTGGGCTCCCCCGCGGCCGCTGGGGAGGCTGCGTTTGCCCAGTCAGGTCTTCAGTGGGTCTCCTTTGAAGTCGCCTGCTGGGCTTTCAGTCCGGGTCCTTGGGTGGGCATCGGAATCCCTGCATTCTCTGGCAAGAGGCCCTGTGGATCCGGAGCTTGTGGTGGGCTCTCTGTCT